CTGACGTTTCGGGAAGGGTCTAGGCCTGAAACGTCAGCCTTTCTGCTCCTATGGTGCTGCTTGGCCTGCTGTGTTCATCCAGCCCTGCACCTTGTTGTCTCGGATTCTCCAGCATCTGCAGTTCCTACTATCTCTGCAGTTTTCTGTAACTGAGTACAAAAGTGTACAATTGAATGAGTGTTTAGTCCAGACATCTGCACTCCACTTAGAGTTTTGTTTTCCAAAGAAATAGATCCAAATCCTGACCTCCTTTATTGATACTTAAGAATTCTGGGAATCATTGTGGTTATTTATGCGAGGTGCCTTTGGTGAGAAAGCACAAATGGTTGTGAGCTGAAGCAGCACCCACTCCTGGAGTGTATGCTGCATGTGGTGCTGCTACATTTTCCCTTAAAGATTTATTTTAATTTTCCCAGTCAATGTTTGGGTTTGCTTGTGCTCTGCAGAAGTACAACTCTTTTTCAATTCTGGAATCCAAATTTGCTTTTTTAAATTGCTGGACTTTTGAGAGAAGGGTTTGTTGAACCAACAGGGTATTAATTGGTTGCTTTGTTGTTCTCTCAGCCGTGACAATCCTCTATTTGACTTCATTGAGAACTGCATGAGGAACAAGCATGAGATGGTTGTCTATGAAGCAGCCTCTGCCATTGTCAACTTGCCAAACTGTACAGCTAAAGAACTGGCTCCTGCTGTGTCTGGTAAGTGTGTGAAAGCAAAGAAAAATGGTTTGAATAAATATTGTAAAGGTGGAAATGCTTTAAGAATAACTTCCGTGCTGGCTCAGTGATTGAAATGTTGACCCTCTTAGCAAAGCTAAGTAGCTTACAATCAAGAGGAAAATGAGGAGGCCTCCCAGTTGTTCACTCCATCAAAACGGACCTGAAAAAGCTAACCAAGCAATCTGCATCCTCCAGTGTGCCTATACAGCTAGTGATTCACTTTCTTGACAATAATAAGAATTTGTGTTTTAATGTAGTAAAAAAATCGTGATAGGTTCAACAAGCAGAAGAAAATTTTTTTAAATGTTTTAGGATGGGTAACCAAAACCTCAATCAAGGAACTTTTAAGGAAAAACAGAAGTGCAGTGGTTTTAGGGAAGGAATGCCAGCACTTAGGAGAGCTAAATGCATGGCTGCCAGCATTGACGCAAAGAGGTTGGAGGACGGACAAAAAATCAAGAGTTGGAAGAGCATCGAGTTCTCGCAGGGTTGGAGGATACAATAGAAGCTACGCAGAGCAAAGCAATGGGCTAAGATATCTACGACCCTAAAGTATCACAGAGGTTGATAGCCCATTACCTGAAGAACTATGGGCAAATTCTGCGTTGTACTATGCAAACTATCCCATATTGCTCTATTTTTATTACTTTTTTTCCAAAATTTCTTGGTTGCCTTACGAACTTTGGATTGTTGCATATTACCGTCACACAACCCTACACAAACCATATGTGTGATTAGGTTTAAGTTAAGGTTAGCAACATTTTGATGACTTGTATGGCAGTGGGATGCAGTCATTTTTGCTTTTTACGTGGTCTTTGATTTTGATCTTTTTTTCTCCCTGCAGTGCTACAGTTGTTCTGTAGTTCGCCTAAGGCAGCCCTGCGATATGCAGCAGTGAGGACACTCAATAAGGTAAGAGGAGATTTGAAGGGTGATGCTAGATTTTAGCATTTTGGCATGAAAATTTTCTTTATGCTGAGTGGGTAACACCAGTGATGGGAACCTGTAGTTGTGGAGACATACTGGAACAAAGGAGGCTAAACAGGAGATTTTTAAAAGAAAAATTTCTTTCAAATTATGCAAAGATTTCATTAATTGTTTCCTGGTATTTGAATTCAGTGATGCGGTGCCTGCTAAATAAAACGCGAGAAAAAGTCTGTACACTATGGGGTGTTGGGGCACATAGTGCTTTCCCACTGAGTAATTGAGGCAGAGATTGTTGCTTCTTTATAATGGAAGAATAGATAAATAATAGAATGGAATGATCAACTACGGGGAATGAGGACGACAGTGAGATTAGTTATCAATTGCTGTAACAAGCTGGTGGTCATTGACTTTCTGAACTAAAGCCATCCCGGAGTGGTTACTCCTATCATAGCTAATGATTAGTGTCATAAAACAATATTCTGAAGTTATTAATTTCACATCCTATGCTTTTCAGCAAGCAATTGTTTATTTTTGTAATGCATTTCCCTAACTGTATGACATTTTAAAGTCATTGAAGCACTTTGAGGCAGGCACTGCTGTAAAAATCGCAGCCTTCAAATTGTGAAGTGCAAGCTGTCCGATAAACAAGCTCTGAGATAGTGTTGGTGTTGATTGAGGAATCAATATTGCTCCATGATATTGGGAAACTTGCCCCCCGCCCCGCCATATATCATGAATAGACAGGACCCCAGTTTAACATCTCCTGAAGATATCGCTGCCTCAGTACTGCACTAAACTGTTGACCTGAAGTCTATGGGGTTTCAACCCTGTGCTTCTGACTTCCCTCAGCACTACACCCAAACATATTTTAGATGAGCAGAACAATTATAAGATTTTGAAGAATAAGATCTGCTGTAGGAAGGTCACAAAATGTCACCATGCTCTGGCGCCATCTTGAAAAATTTGAACAATGATTTTGTACAAAAATGCTAGTTAACTCAGTGATATTAAAGAACTGGAAAAACTTTAACAGCTGCAGAGATTCATTCTTTGAAAAGTTTTTGACTTCGGTAGTTTTCCTCTTTATGCTGGCCTTATTAAAGTGAAGAATGTGACAGTTCTGTACTTTGGAGACCTCAGTGGCAGAATTGAATGAAGTGTAGATGCTTTGTTTCAGTAATTCTCAAATAAATTTTTGGAAACCTCAGAAAAGTTGACAAGCCTGTCAAGTTTGTATCTTTTGATATTCAAATTCTTCTAACCCAGCAAAATTAAGCACGCTTTAAAATCTATATCATTGGCATGGGACATATTGCAGACATTGATCGCCCTTTGCATTAGCGAGTGTCATCTTAAATCTTAAAGGTAAACAGAAACGTAAGGGAGGAGCTGGCCAGAGTTGATTGGAAGGGGAGCCTAGCAGAGAAGACAGTGGAGCAGAAATGGCAGGAGTGTCTAGGCGTAATTTGGGAGGAACAGCAGAAACCCATCCCAAGGAAGAAGAAACATACTAAGGGGATGGCTAATAATGGAGGTCAGGGCGGAATGGTGGCTCAGTGGTTAGTACTGCTGCCTCACAGCGCCAGGAACCCGGGTTCAAATCCATCTTTGGGTGACTGTCTGTGTGGAGTTTGTACATTCTCCCTGTTTCTGCGTGGGTTTCCTCCGGTCGCTCCGGTTTCCTCCCACAGTCCAAAGACGTGCAGGCTAGGTGGATTGGCCATGCTAAATTGTCCCTAGTGTTCAGGAATATGTAGATTAGGGGGATGGGTCTAGGTGGGATGCTCTGAGAGTCAGTGTGGACTTGTTGGGCCAAAGGGCCTGTTTCCGCACTGTAGGGATTCTATGATAAAGCACACAGTGTGGTGAAGATTAATGGAAAGCCTTTAAAAACCAGCAGAAGACAATTAAAAAAGCAATGAGGAGTGAGAAGATGAAGCATGAGGGTAAAGATAACTAGCAACATAAAAGAAGATTACATGAGTTTTTTAGTTATCTACAAGGTAAGAGAGGCAAGAGTGGACTGCTGAAAAATGAGGCTAGAGAAATAGTAATGGGCAACAAAGAAACGGCAGAGAAACTGAATAGGTACTTTGAATTAGTCTTCATGGTAGAAATCACCAGTAGTATACCAGAATTTCAAGAGAGTTGGGGTGGGGTGGGTGGGGTGGGGTTGGGTCGGGGTGTGGGCAGAGGTGAGCATAGTGGCCATCATTAAGGAGAAAGTATTGGAGAAGCTAAAGTTTGAAGGTGGATAAATCACACAGACCAGATCAACTGGCCCCAGAGTTCTCGAGGAGATAGCTGAGGAGATTGTAAAGGTGATCTTTCAGGAATCACTATAGGCATGGAGGGTCCCAGAGGACAGGAAAATGGCTAATGTATCACCCCTGTTTAAGAAAGGAGGAGGGCCGAAGACAGGAAATTATAGGCAATTTCATTTGATCTTGTTGAGACTATAGGATTAAGAATGAGATTGTGGAGTACTAGGAAGTGCATGGTAACTTAGGGCTGAGTCAGCACGACTTCATCAAGGGGAGGTCATGCCTGACAAATCTGTTAGAATTCTCAAGATAATGAGCAAGGTACTAGAGAAAGGAGAGCCAGTGGATGAGATATATTTGGATTTCCAGAAGAACTTTGATAAGGTGCCAGACAGGAGGCTGCTAAATAAGACAAGGTCCCATGGTGTTAGGGGCAAGGTACTGGCATGGACAGAGGATTGGCTGAATGAGATAAAGTGGTCTTTTTCAGGGTAGCAGCCAGTGGCTAGTGGAGTTCTGCAGGGGACAGTATCAGAGCCACAATTAGTCACGTTATGCATTTACGATCTTGGTGAAGGAACCAAGGGTATTGTTGCTAAGTTTGCAGATGACACAGATGTAGATGAGGGGATGGGTAGTGTTGAGGAGGTGGGAAGGATTTGGACAGGCTAGGAGAGTGGGCAAAGGAGTGGCAGATGGAATACAACGCGGGAAAGTGAGATTATGCACTTTGGTAAGAAGCTTAAAGGCATAGATTATTTTCTAAAGGGGGGAAAGGCTTCGGAAATCTGAAGCACAAAGGGACTTGGGAGTACTAGTTCAGGATTCTCTTAAGGTTAATATGCTGGTTCACTTGACAGTTAGGAAGGCAAATGCAATGTTAGCATTTATTTCAAGAGGGCTGGAATGCAGGAGCAGAGATGTACTGCTGAGGCTGTATACAACTCTGGCCCGACTGCATCGAAATGAGCAGTTTTCGGCCCTGTATCTATGGAAAGATGTACTAACGTTGGAGGGGGTCCAGAAGAGGTTTGAAAGAATAATTCCAGGATGAAGGGATTGTCAAATGAGGACTTTGGGTCTGTACTCAATGGCATTTAAAAGGATGAGGATAGATCTGATTGAAACTCACAGAATACTGAGAGGCCTGGATAAAGTGGGTGTGGAGATGATGTTTCTACTAGTAGGAGAGACTAGGGCCTGAGGGGACAGCCTCAGAGTGAAATGATGACCTTTTAGAACTGAAATGACTTGTGGACACACAGTGTATAGCTGTAATGTAACCTCTTTTCCTTTATTTCTCTATTCTGTAACTAAGGATTGTACCTAGATGCTTTTGTACCTAAAATGGTGCTGTAAGTGGTGATTTATAAACTTTTCACTACTCATTTGAGTACGTGACAATAATTCAATTCAATTCCATTCGAGATGAGGAATTTCTTCAGCCAAGGAGTGGTTAATCTGTGGAATTCTTTGCTGCAGAAGACTGTGGAGGCCAAGTCATTGAGTGTATTTAAGACAGAGATAGTTGGTTATTGATTAGTAAGGGGATCAAGGGTTATGGGGAGAAGGCAGAAGATTGGGGTTGGCAAACATATCAGCCATGATTGAATGACAGAGCAGACTCAGCAGGCAAAACAGTCTAATTATGTTTTTATGCCTCATGGTCTTATCTCATGTAAATTTATTTTTCACAACTTATTAATCATGATCCTTGTGCTATCAGCTTATTAATTTCAAGGTATTCTATTTAGGTTTCATCTTGCATAACTTTTTAATGTTTTATGCTACAAAGTGTTGTAGTTAAACAGTCAACTTTAGGACCACAAAACCATACAGCGCAGGAGAAGGACATTCGGCCCAATGTGCCTGTTACAGCAATTTGCAAGTGCTAATTATTTAGTCCCATTCCCCTGCTGTTCCTCATGAGATTTCATGATGTTCTAGTGCTTCCTGGCAGTTCATCCTCGTCCACTTGAAATCAGTTCAGTTTTTTTGCAGTCTGCCCAATCATTGTCCATTCCTTTTACGGTATGGTGTGAAAGGAAAATCCTAAATTAGAAAACTGTTGATGGTCTAGTTGAATTTGTGGCAGGTCCTATTTAGTTGGAATTTTTCAACACGCATTCAATGTTAGTGACATTAATCGCTTTGGAGATCAGTGCGCTGATGAGTCCTTTTAAAGCAGCTGAACTGCTTGTTTTACAGGTGGCGATGAAACACCCGTCAGCTGTGACTGCATGCAACCTGGATCTGGAAAACCTGGTGACAGACTCGAACCGCAGCATTGCCACTCTCGCCATCACCACGCTGCTGAAAACGGGCAGTGAGAGCAGCATTGACCGCCTCATGAAGCAGATCTCCTCCTTTATGTCAGAAATCTCAGATGAGTTCAAGGTGATCGTTTCCACTTTCAAGTTCAATGATGGCACTCAGTAATTGCCTATTTCCAGTATTTTTGATAAATTCCCAGGCTTCCTTACCAGAGTTATATCATTTTGTTTTTGAAGAAAGGGATTTTCTTGTTTTACAAGGAATTTACAGTGCGGGAGTAGACCACTTGGACCAACCATAGTCTATATCGATGCTTATGCTCCGTATGAAGTCACCTTGTGTCCTACTGGATCTCGTCCTATTACCATAGCTTTCTATTATTTCCTCCACGTGCTTATCAAGCTGCATCATATATTTCCAACATGCCTATTTCAGTTAACCTATAAATTTATATATATATTATTTGATATATTTTTCATCCTCATTGCCAGTGTTACACATCATTGGGTTCCACCCCTCTGAAAAAGATGGTTCCCCTTTTTGGGCAGATCTAGAATAAGGGGTAATGAAAAATAAAAGATTGCCCATTTAATATAGAATTAAGGAAAGATGTCTTTCTCACAGAGCGTCATGACTTTTTGGAACACTCTTCCTCATAAAGTGCTGGATTGGTGGCCCTTGAATATTTTGAAGGAAGAGGTGGATAGATTTTCAATAAGCAAGGGGTGAAACATTGTCAGGAGTAGGTGGGAATGTGGAATATTCAGTTCAGTCAGGATCTTACTGAATGGTAAAGCAGGGTCCGAGACCTTACCGTATTCATAATTCATATGCATGCTTCAACCCTCTTAGCTCCCCATCTAAGAGACCTCATATGTCCACCAAAACTGTGAATATTGTACATGTGCGCACGCAGTCTTTCCAGCAGGGATCATTTGATGGAGGGCAAGAGCACCCCAAGATGATTATTCCTCCCTAACCAGGACTCTCAAGGTCAATTAAACTGTGTCCAGGCTGAAACCAGCTCATTCAGTGCAGGACTGAGTGTAGAGTGCCTTGTTCTACATTTTGTGGTAGTCAGAAGGATTTAGTTACCAGGCCACTAGGGGTATAGGTTATGCTTGATTTCAGAAATAAACAACAGTCTAGGGTTTGAGAGCATCCAGCAGGAGAGGGTTGGGACCGGGGAGTATTCAGCAGTGGACGGGCGGGACAGGGGAGCATCCAGCAATGGGATTGAGAGGATCAGCTTAGATATAGCTCTTGAACCCACAACTTTCTGACCTGCAAGTAGGCATGCTGTATGCTGAGTGACAGCTGACCACGTTAGGCACATCGCTGATTGTCCTGGCAGTTCCTCCGTAATGCTGAAGGTATTGGGTTTGATTCTTGGCGTCCTCTCTGGTTGGTTGTGAGTCATTTTGACCTGCTGCTGATCAGCTGCATTTCTTTACAGCCTCCCCCACCCTCTGCACACGTCCTGTGTCTGGCAGGTGTCAGTTTTATGAGATTGATTTTAGCTTGTTTTAAAAGAGCTTAATTTATGATTTAAAGAAAAGTTTAAAAAAAAAATGGGGAGAATACTCCTCTGGCTTGCTCTCTAAGATTCTTCCAATGATCTTTTGTTTAGGTGGTGGTGGTGCAGGCCATCAGTACTCTGTGCCAGAAATTTCCACGAAAGCACTCCGTGATGATGAACTTCCTATTCACCATGCTGCGAGAAGAGGTATGTTAATTTTAATTTAAGATCAAATAATTGAAAATTAACTTCCTTTGTAAATTAAAGGCCTGTTTTACAGTTACTTTTGTTAATGTTCTGGAGGATTTTGAGCAGAGTTTACAGCTGCCCTCCAAATGGGACGAAGTGGTGATTCCAGTTAGTTGGACGGCTGGTCTGTGATGCAGAGTGACGCAAAAAGTGCAGGTTCAATTCCTGCACTGGCTGAGATTACCATGAAGGTCCTTCATTCTCAACCTGTCCCTTGCCTTGAGGCATGGTGACCCTCGGGTTAAACCCACCACCGGTCATCTTTCTGTCTCTAACTTGAGATTAGCCCTATGATCCTCTGTGACTGTAAAGACTTGACTGCAATTGCTCAATGAACTTTGTAGGAATCTAAAGTTGAGAAGGAGAACTATTATGCTTGTATTGTTCTTTTGAAAAACCTGTCCAATTAGTCTGACTCCCTATAGACCTGCAATTTTTTTTCTTTTTTGTTTCAAGCATACATTCAATTACCTTTTGCAATTTACTGTTGCATCTGCTGCCATTGTTTCAAACAATGCCTTCCAGAACATTGTAACTCACTGCATTGTAAAACAAAAAAAATCTCCTCCTCCATTCGTTCCAGGTCAACTAACAATTATTATCAACTGATGTCCTCTGTTTAAAAATCGTCTGGCCAGTGAAATTGGTTTCCCAATGTGTCCTATAAAAATCCCCTCCCAAACTGAACACCTCTGTTCAATTTTTTTGTTCTCCTTGCCTAGTGTAAGGTTAATGTGACGTTTATGACGTGTTCAGAATTAGGTCCAAACTTGTGCATTTGAATAGACTCATGCTTATGAGATCAGGTGTCCAATCTATCTAGAAGGCAGCGTGATGGTATGATGCAGTAGCGTTCTGGGCAATTATTCCTCCGGCTTAAGCCATTGATGTCCCTTTTGCGTTCCCATTGTCGGCAAAGCTGTCCCAAGGTTGGTGTGGGAGGTATTGATAGGAAAGTAGAAACGTGCTCTGTGTGGATATGACTTATCCAGCAATAATTTAAATCATAAGTCATACAGTTAGCTCTTGCACTTGTGCCTTGAACTCGAGTGCATTGGTAGATTGTCGTGGGGAGACTCCTACTTGGCTGGTGTTTGGGGAATTTAAAACAAGAAACCAAAGAAAGAAACGAGAGGACTATTATAACACCGGTGGGGTAAAAACCTTTGTGAGGTGATTAGCCCGCAGTCCTGTTAACATTACATGGTATTCTGGCCTCTGCTAACTTAACAGAAATTTGATAAAGAAATTAATAAATCCTGTTAACCTAATATCCCACAGCAGCAATATTATTTAGCTTAAAAATACAGATAAAATTGGGTTCATCTCGTTGCTTGCATTGGGAATGTTATTCAAATGTATTTATAAATTGTGGAGTCTAGTTAGAGTCATACAGCACCGAAAAGGCCCTTCAGCCCATTGAATTTGTACTCACCTATCTACACTAAGTTATTGTACCTGGTTTTGTCCACAGCAGGTTCCTTCAGGACAGCAACAGGAAGTGTAATTTTTGTTTAAAATATGTGTTAAGATGTTTTTCCAAGGGTTGGTCAGTTTCCCTGTGAATCTAATTATTGAGAGAGCATCCGTAGCATAATTTAAAATAATATTGGTTAAGTACTAAAAAGATTGTGCTAAATGGGTATAGAGGAGATAGCTGTGAATGAAGAATGCACTAGCACGAGGCTCCAATTATTTCCTTCTGTGCTATAGTTGTTCCATGCTAAGATGCCATTTTCCCATATTATCATGCTCATGTTGCAAAAAATGAAGCCGATCGGGTGAAAATTGGACATCAGTGATATCCTTGTTCAGCCTGGGTTCAGTACACCACTTTGAATGTTTGTCCATACACGTGTTCATGGCGCTTTCAGAGAAGTGCCTCACAATATTAAATCTCTCTGCCTTCCAGGGATGGCCCCTCCCAAATTAGTTAATCAGCTGTTCAGCCATTACACAGCTAACAAATTGTGTGACTGTCTTTTGACTTTTGAGCAGTGAGGAATCTAAAGTTGGTTCATGTTCTGAATTCTGACATTCCCCTCAGGGTGGATTTGAGTACAAGCGTGCCATTGTGGAATGCATCATTTGTATAATTGAGGACAACCCAGAGAGCAAGGAGACGGGGCTGGCTCACCTTTGCGAATTCATTGAGGACTGCGAGTTCACAGTGCTCGCCACCCGGATCCTTCACCTGCTTGGGAGGGAAGGAGCCAGGACCCCCAACCCTTCCAAGTACATTCGCTTCATCTATAATCGGGTCATCCTGGAGAACGAAGAGGTCCGAGCAGGTTAGTTGCACTTTGTATCTGCTCACCAAAGATATTTCTTATGTAAAGTATGGGCCACAGAGTGCTCGACAAGGTGATAATCATGCAAGAATGTGGAGGAAGAAAGAAAGAAAGAAGCTGTGGTGGTGGTGGTTCTGGGGTTGGAGGTGGAGGAGGAAGCCAGCAGACTGCTGAGGATGAGTTATTAGTGGGCTTTTGAAGGCAAGCAAAGGAGTATAAGAATAAGTGTATCTGGAGGTAAGTGAATCATCTTGTGGTTGGGGTGGCTCGTTGAGCTGGCTTGTTGTTCTGCAGATGTTTCATTACGCTGCTGGGTAACATCATCAGTGCAGTCTCCGACTTCATCCCCATACTATTTATCTTCCTTCCAGTTTAAAACAATGGAAGCCATGTGGCTGGATCTTTCCCTGGCTGACACTGACAAGATGGCATCTGTTGGTCATCTCTAGTTGCCCTGAAAATGGGTTGGTGAGCTCTTGCAAGCCACTGCAATCCTTAAGGGGCTTTATAGAGAATTCCAGACTGTTGACCCTGAGACATTGAAGGAATGGCATTTGTGTCCAAAGAATCATTTGAAATTTGAATGGGGGATCTTGGATGGTGATCCCATATCCTTGACCCCTGTCCATTCTCAGTCATAGAGGTGAAATTTGGAGCCCAAAATGAAATGATATGTCCTAGTATAAGCATGCTATTGAAGAGGTAAGTGCACAGTACAGCTAACTATTGTTACCGACGAGGTGTGAAAACAATAAGCAGGTACACAGTGGACGTCACTGTCTGTTCAATATAATTTTATCTACCGGACTGTATACTTTGAAGGAGGTCTAATTGAATGGTGGAACTGGGTAGAAGGGCGGATTGACCTACTCCTTTAGTGTACCTTAGTTGTGTGGTCCCTTACAAATTATGCTTAGTGATTTATGCTGTGCATCTTATTGATTATGCACAGTATAATAAAACTGCTGTGGTGACGTGAGATTGGATATTGAGTCCAGCAGCAGGACTGACTAGCCAACTTGCCTTGTCCCGGATCTTTTCAGTTTAGGCAAAGAGCAGGTGCGGGAATTCCTGTGAATGTCAGTGAAATCTGCAATATAAATCACAGTGGTAAAATTCAAGGGCAATTGCATTTGCTCAAATGTTGAAGCTGGAGTGCTGAATTTTACCTTCATTGCACCTGTGCACTTAAGGTGCTTTCAAACCGCACACCTGGCAGGATTTCACATCCACGTTACAGAATTGTATTTCTTTGTTTCTAACATTTTTGCAGCTGCTGTGAGTGCCTTGGCAAAGTTTGGAGCCCAGAATGAAGAGATGTATCCCAGTGTAAGTGTGCTATTGAAGAGGTAAGTGCACAGTACAGCTAACTGTTATTACCAAGGCAATGTGAATATAATGATGCAATGAACAGATACACAGGAGGTCTAATTGAATCTCGGAACTGGGTGGAAGGGCTGAATGCTCTACTCCTGTCTCTTTCCTAATGTCGGGTGTACTGTCCTGTTCATCCTCCCCAAAAATAATTTACTCACACTGTGTAAGCATAGAGTCAGAGAGAGCAAGCAAACCATTCAGTGTAAATTTACTGATCTCTGAGAATATAGTGGAATATTTCCAGCATGTTCAGAAATACAGCATCAGCTTCACAGATATTTAAAGGTCTGATGCAAGTGCTTCTATTCTAATAGTGACTTTGTTGTATTCACTTGGATCCATCCTATTCTCTGGTGGTTTTCTATATGGCTGACTATTCAGATTAAAATTTGTGGAGCTAAGCTTGCTTGTAATTAGAAACAACAGTATTTTTAGGGGAAGAAGAGGAAGAAAAATGAGAGATTGCTCCTTGCAGTTTCTCATCTGGCGGCTGATGATCTCTGGCAAGGAGGGATGCTTTAACAGTAAAGAGAAATGAAAATCACTGGCTTTTTGGTCCTGTTTTTGATGCAGTGACCACTAGCTGGAGTGCACAGATGTGACAGCATTGTAGTTCTGTTACTGGACTAGTTATCTGGAAGTCTGCATTAGTCAACTATCGACATGAGTTCAAATTCCACTATGTTATTTGGAGAATTTCAATTTGATTACTTAAATAAATTTAGAATTAAAAAACATACCTACTGAGTTGTCAGAACAAACCATCAAGTTCACTAATACTGCCCATATCTCAACACCTATCATCCCTGTATTTGCTGTCTTACATTGGCTTACAGCTGAGAAATTTCTTGATTTTAAAATTCTTATCCTTGTTTCCAAATCCCTCCAGGGCCTTGCTCCTTCCTGTCTCTATGATCTCCTCCAGTCTAACAACCTCTGAGATATCTTCATTCCTCTAATTTTTAAGTTATTTACCTAATTAATTTTTAAGTGTTTTAATTGCACCATCATTGGTGACTGCACCTTCAGTTCCCTAGGCCCTTGGTTTTGGAGTTTGTTTCCTGCAACTCTACACCTTGCTTTCTTTCAGGCAAACCTTAAAAACCTACTTCTAGTCACACGTTTGGTCTTCTGACCTAATATTCCCTGTGTGGCTTGACTTCATATTTTGTTTTGAAATGCTCCTGTGAAGTGCCTTGGGTTGTTTTATTACTTTAGAGGGGCTACATAAATATAATTTGTTGTAACAGGTGAAACTTTAAGGAGGGAAGTCTGTGACCTTAGGCCACTCAGTTGTATCAAAACTGTTACGAGAAACTATAATCCACGCAACATGGTTTAAGAAGGTAACTACATCTTTTCATGGCACTGAGGAAAGTGTAATAAATGCTTGCCTTTTCAGCAGTGCTTCTAGAAAAAGAGTATTGGGTAAAAAGAGGATTGAGCTTAGCTGTAAAAGGAAAGACGTGTGTGTATATATATGTATATTAAAAACAAATATATATAGCATTTTGCACAATCCCAGAACATCCCAAAGTGCTTTACAGTCAATGAAGTACTTTTAAAGTGTGGTTGCTGTTGTAATGTAGGAATCCCACAGAGAGTATGCAGCAAGCTACCACAAGAGGAATTAATGAAATGACCAAAACATTTGCTTTAGCTATTGATTGAGAGGCAGTGGGCACGTTTAAACTAGGGAGGCAGTGGCATTGTGGTAATGTGACTGGACTAGTAATCCAGAGCCTCAGGATAATATTTGGGGGACATGGGTTCAATTGCAATCATAGCAGATGGTGAAATTGGAATTCAATAAAAGCTGGAATTAAAAGCTAGTCCAATGCAACCATTTAAGCAATGTTGATATTTTTAAAAAAAACAAAGTCTGTTTGCCAATATCCTTTCCTTTTAGGAAAGGATCCGAATCTGGTTTGGTTTACAGAAGGGGTGAAAGAAAGGGGTGAGCTGAGTTATGAAGAAGGGTCACTGGACCTGAAATATTAACTCTGCTTTCTCTCCACAGATGCTGCCACTCCTGCTGAGTTTTTTTCCAGCAATTTCTGATTTTGTTTCTGGGCCGAGTTATGTTTTACAAAGGGAGGTTCACTTGGGTAGAGTCCAGGAAGGGTAAGCAAAACTGAATTCAGTAGATTATGAGGAGCATAACTCTGACTTTTAAATGTTGATGTGTTATGACTGTAACCGCAGGCAGAAAAATCACATGTTTGCAGCAAAGCTCACCCATCTGCAATCAACAACACCTCAAAATGTACTTGCACATTTTAAGAGTGTTTATTGGAGAAGGCTTTTAACAACCTGGCGCCTAGGATTGCTGTGAGTGCCTAACATTGGTGTTAGAAAGCACTGATGGTTACCCATCAGATCATTTATACAATGTCACTGTCAACTGCTTTTTAAAAAGTATATTTGATTTGATTTCTTAGTGAATTGCTGAAGGTAAAAGCATAAGGCTATGAACCTGCTGTTTATTAAAGCATTATAAAGTACAGTTCTTCTGAAATAAGATTTTTTTCTAGGCTGATATTCCCTATGCTGCCCTGTTAGAGGCACGGGACTTCAGGTGAATTATTAAACCAAAGCTCCACTTACCTTGCTCTAGTGGATGTGAAAGATCTGTGGCACTATCAGTGGGTTCTCCCTGGTACCTTGGCCAATATTTACCTCTACAATAACGCCAGAGTAATAGAAAACAGATTGCCTGTCTATATATTTGATTGATGTTTGTGGGATATTTGCTGTGTGCAAATTATTTCCTGCATTACGGCACTGACTAACTTCCAAAAGCACTTTTCAACCAGTTAGGTATATCCTGAATAATTTTTAAATTCATTTTTGCGGGATGTGAGCGTCACTGGCGGGGCCAGCATTTATTGCGCATTCCCAGTTGCCCCTTGAGAAGGTGGTGGTGAGCTGCCTTCTTGAACCGCTGTATTCCATGTGCTGTGAGTTGACCCACAATGCCATTAGAGAGGGAATTCCAGGATTTTAACCCAGCGACAGTGAATGAACGGTGATACATTTCCAAGTCAGGATGGTGGGTGGCTTGGAGGAGAACTTGCAGGGGTGTTCCCGTATATCTGCTGCCCTTGTCATTCTAGATGGATGTGGTTGTGGGTTTGGAAGGTGCTGTCTGAGGATCTTTGGTGACTTTCTGCAGTGCATCTTGTAGACCGAACACACTGCTGCCACTGAGCGTCGATGGTGGAGGCTTGTGGATGCAGTACCAGTCAAGCGGGCTGCTTTGGCCTGGCTGGTATCGAGCTTCTTGAGTGTTGTTAGAACTGCACTCATCCAGGCAAGTGGGGAGTATTCCATCACACTCCTGTCCTGTGCCTTGTAGATGGAGGACAGGCTTTGGGGAGTCAGGAAGTGAGTTACTCGCTGCAGTATTCCTAGCCTTTGACCTGCTCTTGAAGCCACTGCACTTATAAGGTGAGTCCAGTTAAGTTGCTGATCAGTGTTAACTCCCAGGTTGTTGATAGTGGAGGGATTTAGTGATGCTAACACCATTGAATGTCAAGGGGTTGTGGTTAGATTGTCTCTTATTGGTGATGGTCGCAGCTTCGCATTTGTGTGGCACGAGTGTCACTTGCCACTTGTCAGCCCAAGCCTGGATATTGTCCACATCTTGTTGCAATTGGACACGGACTGCTTCAGTGTCTGAGGAGTCACAAATGGTGCTAAACATTGTGCAATCATTGGTGAACATCCCCACTTCTGAGCTTATGATGGAGGGAAGGTCATTGATGAAGCAGCTATGGTTGGGCCGAGGACTCCACCCTGAAGAACGACTGCAGAGATGTCCTGGAGCTGAAATGACTGACATCCAACAACCACGACCATCTTCCTATGTGTTAGGTATGATTCTAACCACCAGAGAGATTTGCCCGTAATACCCATTGGTTCCAGTTTTGCTAGGGCTCCGTGATGCTGCACTTGGTCGAATGCAGCCTGGATGCCAAGGCTGTCACTCTCACCTCACCTCTGGAATTCAGCTCTTTTGCCCATGTTTGAACCAAGTCTGTACTGAGGTCAGGAGCTGAGTGACCCTGATGGAACCCAAAGTGGGCATCACTGAGCAGGTTATTGCTGAGCAGGTGCTGTTTGATAGCACTGTTAGTGACACCTTCCATCACTTTACTGATGATCGAGAATAGACTGATGGGGCGGTAATTGGCCGAGTTGGATTTGTCCTGCTTTTTATGTACAGGACATACTTGGGCAATTTTCCACATTGTCATGTAGATACCAGTGCTGTAACTGTACTGGAACAGCTCGACTAGGGGAGCAGCAGGTTCTGGAAATCCATGAAAGGTGCTATATAAATGCAAGTCCATTTTCCTCTGAAGTTCATTAAAATCTGCCACATTGGATCTCTTGACTATTGGGTTCTTATGTCAACAACGTAGTAGCTAAGATTGTACAACTCCCTGAGAAGTCCTGAGATAATTCTGTTTTATCAAACTGTAGGTAAACGTACAGCCAGCTGCACAGGCTGCATGCCTTTAGCTGGGAGTCCTGCCCTAGACTTTACTTCCCCTTTTAAGGTTCCCAAACACAATGCTAAGAGAAAAGCATGGCAGACATTTTAAAATCTGTACACTTAAAATATTTTTTGTATTAGAAATGGTCTTGGCTATTTCTGTTTACTGTGGGGGGATTTGCCTATGTAAAAGTGGTGACTACAGTTCAAAGTAATTCATTGACTGTTAAGTGCTTTGGGTCATCTCATAGGCTTATAAATACAAGTCTGCTTGTTCTCTCAATAAACCTTGATGCTGTGAAAGTTACTGATTTATATTCAATCTGGAGAGGTCGAAATTTTTGTATGATCATTTTAAATGTTCTGCTTTGAAAGCTGTTGCTAAATTGCTCTGTATTCCAATTTAATGAATTGGTTTTTCAATTAAATGTCAGGAATTATTTTAAAAGGTTTAATGACTGTGTTAAACAGATTTGAGTGGCAATTTTATGAGCGTGTTAACCAGTATATTGAATTAGCACTCAGAATTTTAACCTGGAAGGATCAGTCTTTGGATTTCCCAGCATCGTAACTTATTTAAAAGGCTAATAATTCTAATTCTGAAGAGAGAAATCTATCTTGCCAGCAAAAGGACTCTGTATTAACACGGGTTTGGACTGATGCGAAATTTGTGGCGCTATCATTTGAATTTACAAGGTTCTACCAGCACCTCCTATTCCCATACCTCAGGAACCTTACTGTTTTCCATTCTCGGTGTGGGGTTCTGATCCCCATGGCGTTGCCAAGGGAAATTGCAGAACAGAGATCAGGCACTTCCCAACAGGGAACCGCTGAAACACCTTGTAAGGAAAGCTTTAATTAATTATGTTACAATTAGATTTTAAGTGACCTCCCATCAGCAAAAAGGCTGGAGAAACTGGGCTTGTTCTCCTTGGAATACACCACTTCAAGGAGAGATTTGATGTGGAGGTGCCGGTGTTGGACTGGGGTGGACAAGGTCAGAAATCACACGACAGCAGGTTATAGTCCAACAGGTTTATTTGAAAACACCAGCCTTCAGAGTCTCAGTGCTTCTTCAGGTGCTAGTCACCTGAGGTGTTCAAAGTCTTGAAGGGTTTAGGGTTTTGACAGAATAAATAAGGAGCAACTGTTTCCATTGCTGAAAGGATTGGTAACCAGGGGATACAGATATAAGGGAATTGGCAAAACATGAGAAAAATGTTCTTTCCCCACAATGAGATATGGTATCTGCAATTGATTGATTGTAAGAATAGTGGAAACAGATTAAATAGTAACCTACAAATAGAAATTGGGTAAATACTTGAAGGGGGAGATTTGCCAGTTCAGGGGCTAGAGTGGGGCAGTGACTAATTAGGAAAAGCTCTTTCAAAGAACCTTTTGAAGATTAGATGAGCCAGCTGCAATGTTTTATAATTCTATGATTATTTAGTAAAAGCAGTTGCTGTTCATGCATTTGTAGCTTATGCTCAACTGATAAAGACATTCTGCAGATCCCATAATCTGTGCATGCTTGTTCACCCCAAGAACTCCCGAGCTCTTGCAGCTCTGAGATTATTGACAGGTTCCTGGTGCCAGATATTCAGAAACTTAAAACTTCATTAGTTCTGACAGCTAACTCCTCCTCAGGGCACTTGCACAAATCCTGTGACTGCCTTGAATTAGAGCTACAGAGTGATTCTGTAGTTATTGTAGCTAATTGAATAAGCTAAGATGGAAAAATGCAAATTCATACATAACAAAGTGAAAGCAAGGCTAAAAACATGGGCGTTAGAACCAATTCTTCAAATTTACCAAAGCTTAATGACTAGTAATCCTTATATCTTGAACTGTAACTCATGGTGCACATTTCTGCAGAATTCATATGTGTGAAAATATGTGGTTGTTGTTATTATTAATAGCTGTCATTGTATATTCTATTCTTACAAAAGGCAATAAAGACCTTTGAACCAGGAATGAGAGAGGGCTGCCCTAGGAGGAGGGATTAAATAGAATAGATCTATATTCTCTGAAGTTGAGAATAATCAGAGGTAATCTAATTGAAACATGCAAAATTATTTTGAGGGTTTTACAGAAAAAACGCAATCCTGAGTTTGGAGCAAGCGATCGTAGTTTGCTCAAGGGGACTCCATTTAGGACTGAGATGTGAAGAAATTTCCTTACTGTGGGTTGCAGATCTTTGGAACTCACTACCTCAGAGGGTTGTAGATGCACACTTCAATGAGATGTTGGAGCTGAGATTGGTAGATCAAGGAGAATCTCAAGATATAGAGATTAAGTTGATGATCAGCCAACATTTTATTGAGTGGCAGAGCAGGCTGAACAGCCTGATTGACCTACTCCTATTGCATTCTTAGCCCTGTTATCTTGAGAAATTGCTAGAACCTTTAAGTAAGAACATACATTTCTGGACAATGTTCCAGATTACTATTGCCTCGTTTTACTATTTGTGAGGCTATGTAACCTGCCCAACCCTCTTTGCTAGGCTAGTAATGCAGGGTTTGACTGGAATAGTTCACTCACTTTCTGTATAGCTTTGAAAATCTTAAGGTTGCTTTTTGTTACTCTGGAGTTTAATTTATGCTGATTAAAGAGTCTGTAACTAATGTTAGCAGGCAAACCGGTAGGGCCTTTAGATAGGAAAGGACTGAATATTGAAAATCCCTAGTTGTAGGATAGTTATCACCATAGTTATCAAGCATTGAGTGACTTTGATAAAAGCAAAATAGTTGAAGAAGGGTTATATTGGACTCAACATTAACTCTGTTTCACTCTCCACAGATGCTGTCCAATCTGCTGAGTTTCTCCAGCAATTTCTGTTTTCATTGAGTGACTTTGATTATTTTTCAAGTAAACAATTCTAGGTTTTTGTTTTGCTTCCATCTAAAACTGCTCTGTGGTGCCACCCCCACATTGCTCCCATTGTAGTTCCCAGTGCTAGCAGTACAGTTGCCATTTCTGGTTGGCATGTTCCAGGAGGTTTTACTACATGATCTAATTGCCTCATGAGAAACAAGAGTAGACAAAGGCTATTTGGCCCTTAAGGCTGTTCTGCTGTTCGTTAAGTTGCTTGGCCTCAACTCCACTTGCCTGCCTGCTTCTTATAACCTTTGGCTCCCCTATAGTTCAAAAACCTGTATATCTCAGCTTCGAAAAGTTCAATGAGTCAGGTTCAACATCTAGTGGGCTAGAGAATTAAAAAGACATAACAACCTTCTGAGAAAAGAATTTGCCCCTCATCTGTATCTTAAATGGGCAACCTGTTAACTATGAGATTGTTCTAGATTTCCCTCATGAGAGGAAACGTCCTCTCAGCACCTATCCTGTCAAGTCCCCTCAGTCTTCTATCTTGTATGTATAACCTCATGCTCCTGCCATAGGCACGATGCACTGCCTTCCCCTGGTCAATTGGAAAGACTTTGTCACACAATTGGATGATTCCTCACATCATTTGCAACAGCCTTTTTCGCATTTACAACACTTTTTACAACCAATATGCAGAGTTGTTCAAAGAAATATTGAAAGCAAGAATAATTTCCCTGCATGATTTAATACTCCTATGATTAATTTTTCTCCTGGATTGCTTGCCCTGGTGTCTCGGAAATTAATCTTCAATTCCTTGAGACACTATTCTAATCCTGCAGGATTGGCAAACCCCAGTTAGCAGTCACTTTCCAGCAATCCTGCTAGTGATATCATAGCTGGAGGAGGGAGTATTTGAAAGAAGGGCTGATTCAATCTGAAAGGTTTCCAATAGAAATGACAATTAGCTTACTTTTTCAAAGTACCAGCACCAGCACCTTTCTGCTCCGTTGGTTAAGATTTTAAACCAGGGAATTTTTACCTTTGTTTAAATTTCTGCACTGTTGCAAAATGTAAATGTTATGGACCTGACCAAATCCCCTCAAAAAATATTAAGATAGCCTAGACTCTAACTTATTTTAAAAGTTAAATGCCAGGCATTGCATTCCAGATGCAATTTGACTGGTCAAACTACCAGTCTTGAAGCAAAACATACTTTATTCATACACTATAGTTTAAAAAAAACAAAAGAAAGAAGAAATTGGAATAACGTAACTCTACTGAAATCTTAACAGAATAATAGATTATTTAACTACTAAACAGTAGCTGTTCCAATGCAGTAGCATCCCATAAACACACACCTGGCAAATTCAGTAAAATGGATTGTATCACATGCAATTCTAGCAGCAGAAAGAGAAGCCCAGCTTTTAGCTGTAACAGAGAAAGGAAAAACAGCTTCTACATCCAGCTTCAAGACCCCAGCAGCAACTGCTACTGAAAAACTAAAACTAAAAATCCTGGCTTTGAGGGAGCTTGACTCCACCCATTTATTGTTCCAACTTTCAAAACAAATCCAAAGCCTCACAAACTGTTTATTTGATTCAAGTAGATGGTTCATCACCTCTGTCGTAAAACCTCTTTTCCAAAATGAACGAGGACAAAACACACCTCTTAAAACCATAGTATTGTCTCAAAATGATTCCGAAATTAGTTTAAAATGCTTACACTTAAATATTTTATGCTACACATGCACTCATAGCAGTCCAAAGTCACAGCCTCCATGTCTTTGTCCTCAACTGAATCAGTGTAAATTTCTAGTCTACAGCCTAGAAGCATACAACACGGAGTTTATTTGGTCCAACCAGCCTATGCTAGCTCACTGAAAGCACTATGAACGAAATACCCACCCCTGTTCTTTTCCCAGAGCCCAGCAAAATGATTTTCTTCCGTTTATCTAATTTGCTTTCGAAGGCTATCATTGAATTTGGTTCCTCCACCCATCCAGATCATCATAACTCAGTGTAAAGGTTTTCCTGCACTTGCCCCAGGTTCTTGAAGCAATTACCTGTAAATCTGTGCCTTCTAGTTACCGATCCTCCTGCCATTAAAAGTTTTAATGTAACGTTGTATATTTTGCACAGATGTATGATGGATGACGACAATGAGGTACGAGACCGGGCCACTTTCTACCTGAGTGTGCTGGAGCAGAAACAAAAGGCACTGAACTCTGCTTATATCCTCAATGGTAAGGAGCGTCATATGTGTCAGTTCCTGTATTGATTGTGTTCATTCTGTGTTGAATCTGATCATTCAAACTGTAACAGGTCTCATGTTAATTGAAATACCTAAGAGCTGAGTTTGGTTGCACTGCCCCAGATGGGCAGCGCTTGCACTTCCTTAATTAAGTTAGTAACAGGTGATTTGGTGGAGGTTTTATTTATATAAAAATAATGGGTTCTTGTGGTGCAGTAGTAGTACCCCTACTCCTGAGCCTGGAGACCCACGTTCAAGTCCTACCTGCTCCAGACGGTGTGTAATAATATCTCTGAACAGGTTGATTAGAAAATATCTACAAGATTCTTAAAGGACTTGACACGGTGGAACCAGAAAGGTTGTTTCCCTTTGGATTAGGATTAAGATTAGGTTTATCTTTATTTTCAATTGTTCAAATGAGTACAAGTGAAAAGTTTACAAGTCTCCACTTATGGCGCCATCTTAGGCACAAGGTACCTGGTACAAGTACTTAAATATAAGTTCTTAGGGAAAAGAAAATAGAAAAATATAAAGTCCAGCATTATAGATCACAACCTTGTGAAAGAGTCTAGGAACAGAGGGCATAATCTCAGAATGAGGATCGCTCATTTAAGACAGTGATGAGGAGGAATTTCTTCTCTGAGTAGTGAATCTGTGGAATTCTTTACCACAGAGGGCTGTCGAGGTTGGGTTGTTAAGAATATTCAAGGCCGAAATAGACAGATTTTTAATCCGTAAGGGAATCAGCGGTTATGAGAAAAAGGCAGGACAGGGGAGTCAAGGGTCATTAGATCAGCCATGATCTTAGCAAATGGCAGCGCAGACTCGATAGGCTGAACGGCCTACTTCTGTTCCTTCATCTTATGGTCTTAAAGTGGAGTGATGAGAAGCGACTGGTTGAGCTGGATGAACACAGCAGGCCAAGCAGCATCATAGGAGCAGAAAG